TTTGGCTAACCGTATACGGAACATCGCTTGGTATGGCACATGCAAATGATGTACCAGCTACTAACCATGTGGCGGGAATTATTGCACCATCAATTAAAAATGTAATTGCAATGTAAAAGAATCTTAGTTAGCTCTGTGCATTGACCCCTGTTTTTTCTGTCCAACAAGGATCACCATTGAATCTGGTCCCATATCGACAATTTGTGATCGAAGATTTAAATTTCATTTTTTTTTTTTAAATATATTAGTCTTTGATTCTTTGTACTGACAAAGCAAATTGATTTAAATAAATCGGTTTTGCTATGAAACCAACTGTTGACTCCGTAGTGTAGCCAACCTTCTATATACAACAAGTAAACTTACCATATTCTCGAATTATTTAAATAACAATAATATAATTTTATCAGAAAGTTAGTAAGACAATTAGACAAAGTACTTGCCCAAACAAATCACTAACTTTACATAATTATTTAGATATGTACCATATATCATGAACCCAACAAAATAAAGACTTACCATCCTAAGAATACCGAAACCAACCGGATTCATACATTAATTAAATAAATAATGTATTACATGGTAACTGATTATACAATCGTGGGGACCAATAAGTACTTAAAATTCAACATTTTTTAAAATTTTTAAATCGAGAATAACTACATAATTGTCGGCAGATTTACTGTAAGAAATGCTTTGATGTATAAATGTATTATATACAGTTTATAAACTTTTTTTTTTTGTACAGGGACCTTCCGGTTTCCGAATCCACAGGGGAATCGACTAATCCGGAATCGAGTTGGGTAGGACCACAAGGGCGGCAAATCTCTCCCTCAAGAGTTTTAACACTGTTGCATTCTCAGGGCTCGAACTCGAGACCACTAGTTAAGCTGGAAGATACTCAAGTCATTTCATCCAAGCGCTCTTGGGTAATTTATAAACGTTTTGTATACTATTGAGAGCTTTTTTTTTTTTTTTTTTTTGGTTCAGGTCCAAAATGCCAGTGATAAGGTGTTCAAGGTGTTATGTGATGAGAAAGCTTATATCTATGTTGTATAAACTCAAAATATACGTTTATCTATCTGTTTTTATTGCCGTTCAGTATATGCTTTACATTATATTATATTTTTATAAATACATATGTACTAAAGATTGTGTTTATTGTACAACAAGTATACCGCGTTATATACCTTACCTTACATAAACATGTTTGGAACAACACTTATTGTACAACTATTATACCGTGTTATATTTCAAACAAAGCTGTGACATATACAAATTATAAATCTTTATCAAACACATAACTATCGATTATAAACCTGTATTTCGAAAAAAAAGAAAAGTGTATATAAAAAAATTTATAAAATAGCATAAAATATACATATCATAAACATCTATCGTTAAACAACGTAAATAAAATGAATATATTCCACAGCGGATCTCGGATGAGATGACGAGGCGAAGCTGGGAAGGAGAGATGACGTCATCAATTGTATAGATCATCATGATGGTGATCGGCGGCGCGGTTGTAGAGCGACTGTTTTTTATGGCTTTCGACCAAACAATCCTTCTATTGGCATCAATACGTAACTTTGCCTTCTTGTTCTCATCCATTGTAGATTTCTTGCAGGGTGGACACAAATTTTTCATTGACAACAATTTCGTAAGACTAACATTATCAGTGACCCCGACCTGGGGTCACAAATTAAAAAAAATAAAAAAAAAAACAAAAAAAAAAAGAAGGTCGTGACCCAGGTCACATTGTGACCTTGGGTCGCGACCTGTTAATGGGACATTTGTCCCATTTTGATGGATAAGTGTATTTTTTTTATTTAAAAAAAAAAATAAAAAATATATTAAAATTTATATTTTTTCATTCTCTACAAATAGAGACCACACTTGATATATTTTAGAATAAAATTATAATTTATAAATAAAATAAATATTTAGGTTGAGTTGGGTTGGGGATAAAGATAAATTGGATTATAAGGTTGAGTTGTGTAGGTGGAGGAGAGAAAAATAATTTTTAATTATTAGGTTGGGTTGGTTTAGGTTGCTGATAAAGATAGTCTAATACATCCCACATGAAAATCATGGCCATATCCTCGCGGAGCATCAATTGGTGGTAAAACACAACGATGCACAGATAGTGCTGTTAAATTAAACGAGTCTGGCTCGGCTCGGCTCGAGTTCGGCTCGACTCGTTAAGGCTCTGTTCGGCTCGAGCTCGAAGCCTTAACGAGCCGAGCTCGAGCTCATTTAAAGCTCGTTTGGTTAACGAGCCGAGCTCGACTCGACTCGATAAGGCTCGTTAAGGCTCGAAAAATGAAATTTATGTAATTTTTTATAGTTCAGCTCGTTAAAACTCGAGATCGGCTCGTTAAGAGCTCGAGCTCGTGCTCAAACACCTTAAACTCGAGCTCGACTCGATTCGTTTACAGCCCTATGCACAGAACACTACAAAAGATATGAGGTGATAATGCGAAGGTACTTTTACAATAATTACAAAGTTTTAGCTTCAAAAGGTAAGTCAAATTACAGATAGAGATGATACCTTTATATATAACTTTTATTAAAGTGCTGCTGCATGTTTACTAACAATAGAAAGATAGCAATATTTCCTCACACGCCAGCGGCCAGCCAGTAGACCATTAAGTCCATAATAATTCAAATTCCATTACTTTTGAGACACACAGACTCTTTGCACCATTTTTAGCGCCAGCCCACGCCAGAAAATCCTTGCCATTTTTTGTTCCTATGTCCAACTAACAGCAACTGGACTCCTCACAACATGCCTCCCGTCAGACCATTCGACCGTCCCGAACGCGTTCGTATTGGACGGCATTGGAGTCGTGCTGAATGTCACCACATACGATTTCTTCTCGTTCGCTCGACTGAAAGTCAGCACTCCCGGAACAACCGATATCTTCACCGACTCGCTCGTCGAGGAAACCGAGACCATGTATGTCCCGGGAGGCCCCACATTGGTGAGCGTTCTCGTGTGCTTAACCACACTGGGTCCTGGGCTACCCTCGCCCATCTGCGCCGGGAGGGTCACCGCAAACGAAGGGTAATTCAGGTCATTCGGGCTGTATACTTTGCGCGGTGAACAGCTAAAGTTCCTCCTTGCCAGGCTGTAGATTTGTGCCGGCGTGTATTTCAAAGCACAAAGGAAACTTAAGTAGTCGTCGGCATCCAGGTCGTAGACGAGGCCCGGGTTGAGGGCCGAGACGGGGTCCACGTGGCCCGATCCATGGTCGAACGAGGTGGATGGCCTGCCGGTGGACACGTCCAGGATCACACCACCGTGCTTGTAGGCAGTGTAGGCTGTGGTCATCAGGGCCGACCGAATTGCGGCCGGGCTCCAGCCTGGGTGGGCCCCCTTCATCAGGGCGGCTAGGCCGCTCACGTGGGGGCACGACATGGAAGTCCCGGAGATTATGTTGAAGCCCACACGCCGCCCGTCCTCGGCTAGTCCAGTGGGGCCCACTAAGCCCGACCATCCGGCGAGGATGTTCACGCCAGGGGCAATCAGATCTGGCTTCAGGATCTCGGGCGTGATGGAGTTGGGCCCTCGGGAGCTGAAGGCTGCCACGACAGGGGACGGCTCGATCCCCACCTTGGTCCCCTCGAAAAATATTGTGGCCGTCGGATTGGGATCTGAGGACAAATACTCTTTAATTGCTTTGCCGGAAGTCTCGCCGAGTGCCGTGGCTGGAAGCAAATGGGCGTCGGCCACGAGTTCCTCGCCGTTGGTGGCGGTGTTGGTGAGTACCATGCCGGCGCCTCCGGCGGCTCTGACAACTGCGCCCTTCTGGACCCTGGGGTTTACGCCGCGGTCGCACAGGACGATTTTTCCCCGCACCTTTTCAGGGTCGAGCGTCCCCGTCATACAGAGGTTGCCGTTGGTGGCGTTGGTCGCGTTCCCAGCGTAGATGAAGGGGAGGAGCCTGCCAGGGAGCGGGTCGCCTTTGAACAAGGAGACACCGGAGAAGTTTTTCCCGTTTCCAAGGCTGACGTACGCCGGAAAGTCGCGGTCGAGGGTGCCGGCGCCGACGGTAGTTATCCACGGCGCCACGTTAGACAGGCTGTACGGGCCGGGCCCCGCGTTACCGGCCGAGCAGGAGACAAAGATGCCCTTCTCGACGGCGGCAAAGGCTCCAATGGCCACACTGTCCCTGTAGTAGTCGGACATGCCGCCGCCCAGCGAGAGGGACAGCACGTGGACGCGGTCGGCCACGGACCGGTCCAAAGCCGCCAGGATGTCCGAGCTGAAGCAGCCGCCGGCCCAGCAGACCTTGTAAACCGCCAACCGGGCCCGGGAGGCCATCCCACGGGCCGTCCCGGCGGCGAACCCGAACAGGCTAGCGTTGGCTACGACAGATCCGGCGGCCGTCGTGGAGGTGTGGGTCCCGTGGCCGTCGCCGTCGAGCGGCGATTTGGACTCCTTGGACTCGTCGATGGGACCTAGCGTGGCCTCATAGCCCCTCGCGAAGTACCGGGCCCCGATCAGCTTCCGGTTGCAGCTCGATTTCGAGAAGTTGGTCCCCGTCTCGCAGTCGCCCCTCCAGGAGGTCGGGACCGGCCCGAAGCCCGTATCGTCGAAGCTCGGGCTGTCGGGCCAGACCCCGGTGTCGAGTACGCCGACGATGACCTCACCGGCCGAGTCGGACTCCGGGAAGACGGCGGCGTTCTGGTCCAGGCCCATGAAGGAAGGGGTCCGGGTGGTGTGGAGCTCGTACCTCATCTCGGGGAGGACGGAGAGGATTCCGGGCCGGGCCTCCATATCCCGGGCCTCCTCCGGCGTGAGCCTGGCGGAGAAGCCGTGGATCACGTTGGTGTAGGCGTAGATCATCTGAGCCGAACCGGAGACCGACTGGAGCGACGAGTCGTACCAGTCGGTGTGGTCCTCGAAGGCCGCCGGCATCTCGGATTTAGCCATGTGAATTATGTAAGTTTTCTTCTCCGCCGTGGAAAGGTGTGATAGCAGTAGAAGAAACATCGAGATTCCGATAACCGGAAGTGTTGTGATATCCCTTTTTTTCTCCATTTTTTCTGAGTTTCGTTTTAATTTTACGGTTGATTTGAGAAAGGCCACTGTATAAATAACATAATAATTGAGGGACTTCCCTTTTTTTTTTTTTTTTAAATTTCAAATTAGATATAATTGTACAGCTGTGTAGGCTTATGGGTTTTTTTTTGTGGGTGGGGACAGTGAGGAGTTGTCTTGTTCATGTGTATGATTGCGGTTCCACAAAAGAAAAACAGATAATAAAACAGAAAAAATAATAATAAAAAATCTCTATCAATTCATGTAATTATTTAGTTATTTTATCACCATAAATAAAATAAATAAGTACAACACCCGTGTAGTGTGGTTTGCTAAAATTTTTCTTAAATTTCAAAATTAATGAGAAATAAAGTGATTGAAAATTTAAATACCTTTTATAAAAAAAATATATGATTATATATTTTAGTTTGATACTTGTTATTTATGTGACTTACATGTGTTATATTATAATAATTTTTCTAATTTATAACATATAACTACATTAAACATAGATATATTAATTAAAAAATAATTTTATTTTTCTAATTAATCTTAATAAATAATTTTATTATTATTATGAGATACATATATAATTTATTTACTTTATGCATATAATATAAATGTCAAATAGAAGATCATCAAAAGATGACTTATTTGAATATTATATATGTAAACCCGATAAAATACAAATGTTATCAATTATTAAAATATAAATTTACAATTAAATGGTTATAATAAGAAATTATATTACAATACAATTAATACATTTAAAATGATCATAAAGAAATCAACATATTTATGTAATCCGAATCTAATTATTTTTGGATTGTAATTAAATTAAAATCTATCCAAACCAAATAATGAAGTATAAAATTTTGACATCTAAGGATCCCGAAGCATGTGAGTGATCTTCCATTTAGGCTCAGCAAGTTCAAAAATTACATATAGAATGATAATATAAATACGAATTTAAAATATATATATATATATATATATATTGAAAGTTTGTATTTTCAACCCAAGAGCACTTGGATGAGATGGTTTGAGTCTCTTCCAACTTAACCAGTGGTCTCGAGTTCGAGCCCTGGAAATGCAGCAGTGTTAAAACTCTTGGGGGAGAGCTTTACCGCCTTTGTGGTCCTACCTGGCTCAATTTCGAATTAGTCAATTCTCCTGTGGATCTGAAAACCGGAAGGCCACCTGTACCAAAAAAAAGTTTGTATTCTCAGCCGTATGAGGTATTGAGGTTTGGCCATGATCACGTGCGGAGTGCGTGGTCTCTGGGCAGGCTTTTTAATCCACTGGATTGAACAAGGAAAGGCCAAATTTAAGAAAACCCCAAAATCCACCTCACACTCTCTACAGTTTTCTTCTCGTTCACACAATCATCTATTCAATATGTGAAAGTTTTTCTTATATTAAAGTATATCCCAAAATGAAAATAGATGTTACGGTCCTGTTATGGAACTATTCCGTCGATATTTGAAACCGTTAGTTCAACTATTCAGACGATTACATGATGATCTAATTCTTACAAACCCCGACATAACATTTCCCTAAAGTAAATAGTGAAGAAATGAAGAAACAAAAGAAAATGTGTAAAAATGGTTGAGTGTTTAGTTATTATAGTTAAGTTGGTCACGGGTCAGTGTAAATATGTGAAGTGAAATTAATTGGGAGTTGGTGGAGGAGCTTTTAAGAAACTTCCAACTTGCAACCTACAAAAAAACTACTTAGTGAACTCTTAAATAGAATATTTTCTCGTGTGATCCGGAAATCGGAAGGTCCCTATATCAAAAAAAAGGTAAAATTGGACACAATTTTTTTTTGGTAAATTGTAATTTTGCCAAAATAAAATTGCATCTGAGCACCACCTTTTTGCAATATTCACAATTGTTTTTTAGGGAAAATGATATGTTATATATTTTTCTTAGTGTTGGTATAATAAATAAATATACTAATGATGAATATGTTTAATTATGTAAAGAAATAATGATAGTTAACTGGGAGTATATATTAGAAATAATTTATGGATAACATATGTAACTAAATGTGTATAGTCTGTCATATTATAATTCAATTAAAGTGATCTATTAAATTTATAATTGTGAATAAAGGTGTATCAAATTGTTAAAGATTTAAAGTGGTAGATATCATAATGAGATTTTTAATTTGTCGAGGGACCAAACTGAAAAGCAATAAGTTTTATTTATTTGGTTAGGACCTCAAACGACGAAAGGTACTGGATAGATTCCGTAGACGTATTTTCTCCCTTTAAAAAAACTATCATCATTACCAAAGAGATGTGTGGAAAATATACGAAAAACATCGATATATATCTGATATAAGGTTTCGAGGGTTTGAAAATGCATATCCATATGGAACGGGAGAACAAAGAACAGAAGAATTTCAATTCATGAAGTTTGGTACGCTTATTCTTTATTTGTTTGATTCTTAATTATTTAACATGAATGATTTTGGAATTGGATTAATTTTTTTTGGATATACATATAAACTAGCAAGCCCGTATCGGAGCTTTCATGTTGAATTTTGAGAATCATATGTTTATATTTGAGTTTTACATATATGATAGCACTTGGATTTAATTTTAGTTATTTACAGTAGTTGTTGATCGGAATTGAGATTATATGAAGTTAGTTGCAATATATTTGAATTCAAGATAAAACTTTGGATTTTTAGATTTCGTTTGTTTTTACCAAAAGTTGTTTGATTTTGGGATAATTTTGGTGCTTGAATTATTGTTCTATAATTTGAAAAGCATAACATGAATTTTTGCTTCATTTCCAGATTTTGTGTTGTGTTTTTATTACTTTTTTTTTTGGGGGGGTGCTTTAAAATGTACTTGAGAAGTCATGGTTATGTAGAGATGTTAAATGGGTTAATTCTGATTGTTTTGGATTAACCTTAGCGGACTTCAGGCTAAATGATCCGGACCTAAAAATCCAATTTGATTGCCACCATTCGAGAGAAAATTGCATCTAGACTTATAAAACTTCAATGTGTCCACCAAAGACCAATTTTGCTTATCTTTTTTTCGAAACCAGTTTCCAACCCAACTTCCATTAATTTATTTTCCAATCTCAACACGCACAATATACATGTTACCCTTTTGAGAAAATTATCCCTTTTTTTTAAGGCCCATCGCCCAACTTGAAAAATGGGCCCAACTGTACAAAAACACATTAGCTAATTGTCCCTTTTTTTAAGAGAAAATTTTTTAAGAGAAAATTACCCCACCCACCATCAAAATCAACTTTATTTGCACATTTACTCATCATATTTTTTATTTGCAAGTATACCAATCCTACAATTTTTATTTGCACGTATGCAAACAGTATTTATTTCCTCTTTCCTTTTTTTTTTTCCCTTCAATTATCCATCTCTTCTCCTTCCTCCATTACCCATTCTTTATTTATTCGATTCTGCAAATTAGATCTCTACCTAATTAATCCTCCCATCCATCATCTTCTTCATCAAGTAACCCTCAAATAAACTTTCATCCATGTTTAAATATTCTCCAAATTGAACCCAATATACAAATTCAAAATTTTAATAAAAAGAATATATAAGATCTTCACTTTGCAGAGCATGATTCTGGATTTGGCCACGAAGCCCTCAATTCGACCGACAACAAGGTTCAAACCGTCGGACTTTCTGCGAGTGGGGGCGAAGATGAACTGATGACCTTTGCTCTGATAATGCCCAGATCTGTGCGGTGTCTGCTCTCGGTGGTTCACACGTGGCCGGTTCTCGCTGGTCTAATCGGGTTTATGAACGGCCCGGTGGTGATGCTTCCCAAGGAGGTGAAGTTGGGGATGCCGAAGGAGAGGACGAATATCGGGCTCATTGCGATGTCGATAGTATATATTGTGTTTATATATAGTATATTTTCAGTATATGTTCCCGTTGCTTCCTCCGAACCGAAGCACTTAATCTTGCTAAGGCGGAGCTTCTACCAGCGCTTTCTTCTCTTACGATATTTCAGAATTGCCACACAATCTCACAATTTGCTTATGAGCAGATATGACTTGTTTCATTGTTTATACGAAATTGTTTCTTTGTTTATATATAGTATATTTTCAGTATATGTTCTAGTCGACACAATTTCAGTGATGCTATGAAAATTTTCTTGTGAGAATATAGGATTTGTTTCATTGTTTATATATCAATAGTATATATTGTATTTATATACAGTATATTTTCAGTATATGTTCCCGTCGACACAATATTAGTGGCGCTATGTTCTTTTATCGTATATTTTACAGAAATTTTTCTTCATCATGACAGAAATAACGCTGCTCTCGATTTTTGTTTGGTATATTTGTTTTAGTATATTTGTTTGGAAGATGATGATGTTTAAAGTTCAAAGTTAAACTTTTTTTTTGTCTATCAATCGGTTAAACAGTAGTTGACAATATATATTCTTAACATATAATAATAGCACATGTTATGTTTTTCTCTCTCCTAAGAACAGATGATTGCGTGAATAAGGGCATCAGTTACCTAATTAAATGTAATTAATACATGAGGCATATCTGCAAATATTTATGCCAAAATTAGTGTATATGCAATATAAACTAAATCTTCAAACCCTTTTGAGAAAATTATCTCACCCACCATCCAAATCAATTTTATTTGCACATTTACTTATCCTTTATTTTATTTGCATTATACCAACAATTTATTTTGTATTTGCAACTGTATTAAATTTGCAATCTAATTACGTCAATGATCATACCTACACAATTAAAAAAAAAAAATGATCTGACCAACACGTTGGGCACCGACGACACCAACAGGTTCGCTTTTAGACGTGACAATCCGAACGAGAATCGTGACAACCAAGATCAGGCACACGCTCATAGACAACAAGCTGTTCGTGATCTACGAGGTGGACAAGGTCCTGATTCCAAGGGATCGAGTTGTTCAAGGGAGTGCTGGCGCCGGCAGCGGGGGCCCGTGGGTGATGCAGAGTACCC